CTGTATTTTAAAAATTTCTCAAAATACCACTAGTAAAAATCAAAGAACTCAGTCAACTTTGGACAAAGTATGTCCAAAGGCAATGAACGAAACAGGGAAAAATATTTGTCAAATATGTCAGGAAAAAAGGATAAATTCTTTAATAATTAAAAAGCCTTTAAAATTAGCAAAAAGGAAGGAAACTGATTCAAGAAAAAAGAAATATAAATGATTAAAAAAAATACAGGAAACCGTGCACAATCCCAGCTCTCATGCACCTCTTTCTACAAGAGGGATTCCCATGCTGCCCTCCTGTCAGAAAAGCTCTCGAGTCATACGGACTCTTACCCCGCCCCTTCCATGTCTTTCCTGTTCTGCCAGTACTTCCAGATTAAAAATAAAACTGCTTTTATTACAGGAATTTCTTCCCCATGCCATATGTTAGAACTCATGATGAAACCAAACCCTGAAGGATGGCATCCACGGACTTCTAGGGTTAGGGGCTTTTGTCCAACCCCAAATTTATATGGTGAGGTCCTGACCCCCTCAGCACCTCACACTTTAAGTATATTTGGAAGACAGGGTTTTTACAGAGGTGACTAAGTTACAGCGAGGTCATCAGGGTAGGCCCTAACCCAGTTTGACCAGAGAATGCTTGTAAGAGGAGGAAGTCTGGACACAGACACATACAGAGGGAAGATCACGTGAAGACACAGGGAGAAGACAGTCATCTACAAGCCAAGGAGAGAGGCTGGGGGCTGATCCTTTCCTCACAGCTCTCAGGGGGAACCTAACTCGTCCAGACTCTGATCTCAGACTTTCAGCCTCCAGACCATGAGAAAACACATTTCTTGTTTAAGCCATCTGGTCTGTGGCACTTTATTATGGCAGCCACAGCAAACCGATACACCGAGTCTGGTCCCAACATCTTCTCCACCTCTACCTCTTATTGTTCCCTAAGAGGAAGTCCAAAGTGTTACAGGCAAAATTCTTACTGGACCTCGTAAGCCTTGTTTAGTCCACGTCATGTCATTCTCTCAAAACGCAGTGACCTCCTCGTACTCTGCAACAACTAAAATCCCACCCATTCTTCAGGCCTGACGCAATCCTTGTCAGCTCTCTGCCTTTGATCAAGGGAACCTACGCCACCAATCTGTCTTTTCTTTGACAAACTGCAAATCCTGATACTGATTCTATTCGAACGATCAATCAGCTAATTCCTCTACTCCTGACTTAATTGTTTCCCATGTATGCAGAGGAAATTGTCAGATTATTCCTAGTATCTCCTGTGAATTGTCTCCTCCCAGGGGACTGTATTTGTCCACAAAAGTTTAGTCCTTCTTGCAAGCACATAGAGACCAGAGTTGATACCGTCTTAAAGACGAAGAGGCTAAAATGAGCACATATTAGAGGAAGCACAATACAGAGGGAAAGTCAGGAAAACTTCCTCTGGGAGAGTCCTTCACTCAGGAGATCAGGGCTACTTGTCACAAGGAGGACAAGTGTGCACAGGTTTGCAAAGAGGAGGTACGGACGGCACCAGTTCTACCTTGTGAGAAATGAAGTGGTGGTCTGAGAAGACTGTGAATCCAAATTCTTATGGTGGTCCTGTTCTGTATATAGAGGGGACAATTTTTTATTAGGAAGAGAGTTTAATGAGCAATGTCATCTGGGAAACTTAAGGGCCTATGAAGACGAACCCACAGTAGTTCAAGATCTTGAAGCTAACGGGCTAACCAGACAAACACATATCAGGTAATTTCCACCGAAGGATGAAGTGCAGACAGGGAGAGATAGGGTGCTGTGCAAATTCAGAAAAGGAGTGGAAATTAGCCCAGAGGGAGGCAAGGGGAAAGAAAAGAGCGTTGTTTCCTCGATGAAGCAACCATAGCTGGCTCATGACAGGTCCAAAGTAAAGAGCCAGACTGCATATCCATGAGAACGACTACTATCAGAAAAACAGGAAATAGCATGTGTTGACGAGGATCTGGAGAAACTTGAACCCGTGTGCACTGCCAGTGAAAATGTAAAAAGATGTGGCCACTGTTGAAAACAGTAGGGCAGTCTCTTGAAAAATTAAACATAGAATTGTCACATGATCCAACAATGTATCCACAAGAATTAAAGGCAGAGTCTTGAAGAGGTACTTGTACACCCAGGTTCATAGCAGCATTATTCACAATAGCCAAAAGGTAGAAGCAACCTGTGTCCATCACAGAATGAGAGGATAAACAAAATGCAGTCTGTACATACAATGCAGTATTATTCGGCCTTCAAAAGGGAGGAAATTCTGACACGATACAACATGGATGAACTCTGAGGACATCACGTAAGTGAAATAAGGCCATCACAAAAAGACAAACACTGTATGATTCCACCTATATGAAGAGTGCAATTCACAGAAACAGAATGGTGGCTGCCACAGGCTGAAGGGAGGGAGGAGTGGGGGATTTGCTGTTTTATGGACACATAATGTAGAGTTCTGCAAGATGAAGAGAGTCCTGGAGACTGGGCACCCAACAATATGAATGTACTTAACACTGCCGAACTGTACATTTAAAAATTGGCTAAGATGGTAAATTTTATGTTACCTATATTTTACAACTAAAAAGAAAAAGAAAAAGAAAGTAAAGAGCCAAACGACTTAGTTGCAGGGGGTTGCCATAACAAAATACCGCAGACTGGGGGCCCTAAACGACACTTACTTCCTCACAGTTCTAGAGGCTGGAAGTCCGAGATCAGGGCCTCAGTGTGGTGACGTCCTCGCTTACAGGTGCCACCTTCTCACTGCGTCCTCATGTGGCCTTCCTGGGCCCTGTGCATGAAGTCTCTCTCTTCCTTTTCTAAGACCACCAATCCTATTGGATTAGCACCCCGCCCACATGACCTCACTTAACCTTCACTGCCTCCTAAAAGCCCTGTCTCCAAATACCATCACATCCGGGGTGAGGGCTTCAACATATGAATTTCGAGGGGGACACAAATCAGTCCATGACACCAAGTGCATGAAATGAAGACTTGGGTCTAAAGGTCAGTCAAGAGACGACAATGAGAAATGTGATATGAGGCAGAGTCAGGGACAGTAGGGTCTGTTTAAGAAACTAAATAAAGTTTTCCTTAGAATGAAGTTTTCTACTAAACTTTTAATGTCGTATTTCCCACTAGATTGTAAACACCATTAAGAAAGAAAAGTATTTATATTGTTCAAGCTGTAACTACAGCCCATGTCACCTCCTGACCACTCAATAAAAAACTGTCAAGAAAGTCAGAGCAGCAGTAAAGTAAAAAGACGAAATGGAAGCTGTAATGCCTTCAAAACCTGAATGTTATCCTGAGAAACGGGGAATTTTATTATACAGCGATGAGAGGCCACTGAAGTGATTTACAGATGGATGAAGACAGCAGTTCATTAGCATTTAGATGAACCACCCCTGTGGGAGACGTGCTTGAGCAGGTGAAGAAGGAGGTGGGACAGATCAGTAAAGAAGCTATGCCACCAGTTCAGGCGAGAGAGCAGTAGGAGGAATGAAGTGGGAACGCATGGAGAACACATTAAGTTGAACCATATAAAACTGTTACCTTTGACCCACACGGACAGGAGAAGCAGCTGGACATGATTACAGACAACACGGGGCAGGAGCTGAGTGAGTGAGAGCGAGAGGAGCCAGGATGCATCCCATTTTTGTGGCCTGGGTGCTTGGCTGAATGGGGTTGTATCCTCCATAGGGAAAGCTGAGGAGAACTAGTTTGGGAAGGGCTATAAATACTAATTTTTTCTTTGAATCAGTTGAGCTGGAGACACCTTTTAGATACCTAAAGAGAAATGTTGAGTCAATTATGTCCAGTGTGGTAGCCACCTGTGACTATTTAAAACTTCAATTAAAATTCAGTTCCCCAGCCACACTGGCCACGTTTCAAGTGCTCAAGAGGCACATGTGGCTAGTGGTCACCATTCTGGACACTGCAGATACAGACCATGTCTAACATCACAAAAAGTGCCATTGGTCAGGGTGGGCTGCAGACCCTCATTTGTTAAAACCAGGAAGGGAATGAAATGAGTCAAGACTAGTTAGAAGAATAGTGGGAAGGAATGGAAACTCACAGATGAGACGTGAAAGGGCAGGAGAAGGAAGATGACTCTATGAAAGAAATGAGAGGCAGGCCAGTGGCTGAGGAAAATGTCACACACACTAACGCAGGAGGCCTTCCAGAGGCACAGACAGGGGGAGTAAGGCACGGCAGACAGGTCTAGTGAGGTAAGGACTGGGCGAGACCCATTGGATTTGACTGTAATTAGCTCACTGGTGAGCGCAGGTCACAGGCACATGAAGAGACACCGAGGCCTCACGCAGTGGACTGAAGTGTGGATGGAAAGCATGGTAATATTTGCTAAAGAACAGACTTTAAACTGCTGAACAACTTGTTTATGACAAGCATTTGAGAGAAATATTTCTGGAGAGCTATTTTAAGGACGTGAGCATTCAGGCCATTCCTGCCAGCCCCTAGCTAGTCTAAGCATCATCCCTGGATCCAGCAGGACGATCGGAAAACTGTCCACCTCCGCTTGTTTTAGTTACCTGAACCCCCGTGTTAACAAAAGCCCTTCTGCGGCAGCCTGCCCTTCACTTCCAGGGGAATTCTTTTCAGGGCTGTTGTTGCAAAGATTTGCACTGTCACCTACATGAGACCAACAAAGACATTTCTCCTGACCTTGATGACTTAAGATTCCACGAGGGGTGTCTGGTTTAAGCTGCTCATGAGTGCAAATCTGTGAACAAATACTGTCTGTCTGTCTCTCTGTCATGACTACCAGAAAGGTCAGAAGAAATGTGCAGCTGTGCTTCGGAAAAGCTGTGACATGAGAGGATCCGCATCTATTCACCTGCCAGCTCTGCTGTGCCATCCACCCGCTTTTCTATTGTCTTCCTTGAATAATCCCGATCCATTTCTACACCTACTTTGCCATGTTAATTAACCACCTATAAAATCCTTTATAAGACGGGTGTTAATGAGTAACTCACCTGAGATATGTTCATTTTCTGCTGCTCTTGGGAGAATGTACAGAATTGTGAAGGATAAGCTGGGGGTAAAGAAAGAGGAATGGAGTTAGGAGAGGTCTGGTGAGCTTCTGTATTCACTTGCCTAGAAATCTCATCAGACTAGTTGGGGAAAAGGTCTTTCTACGGAAAACTGTTCTGTTGATCTTTGAAAAGGGGCAGGAAGCACCATATAGAGAAAAGCACTCTGTGAAGATGTACATTTCTGATACAATCACGCGGCCGTAACCTTGCTGTTTTTCACTGGGTGACTGTAAATTATTTTCCTACCGATTTAAAAAATCTATGTTCTCTCCAATTAACAAAAATTAAAACAGAGGATTAATATCAATGTCCTATTAATATTATGTATACCTTGAGTTAGAAAATCAGTAGAAAACTCTGAACAAAAAGATGTTCAGTGGCAAAATATTTTAAAATCTTTTTGTTCTAATTTGTTGTAATTTCTCAAAGACTTTTGATAAGACACTTTTAGTGACTTACCTGCGACAGAATGAACAGCACTGTGCTTTGCTCCTAGCTCTGTCCTCGGTGACCAGGGGACGTACATCTCAAGCTAAATGTATTTTTTTAAGGTTTTAATTTAAGAAATCCCTTCCTATGTTACCGTTTTGTGACTCTATATGTTCAGGATAAAGGAAGCCTCAGCATATCTCTAGATGCCATATGGGATGGACATGGTGTGAGAGTGGCTCAGAATATGGAAAGGACGAAGAATGAACGAAGTGGGGGGTTATTTAAGGACTGAGGATAGAATTTCCTTGCCTCTGGCTGTGGCTTTACCCATGCAGTCTGTCAGTCATCCACCCCTTCTGACCCCACTCACCACCTTCCGCAAGCTGATCCACAGTTTCCATGGTCACACAGTCCGTGATGGCTTCTGGATGTGGTGACATCACCCAAGTCTAGCTCTCTCTAGGCAAGGTGATTAAGAACCGCTTCTGGCGGAGCAAGTCACAACCTGCTCCTTCCTGGATTCTTCTGCATCTGCTCTGAAGCTCTGATGAGGGCAGTCCCTGTCAGATGGGCTGTTCTTCCAGAGGGACTCCTGTCCCTAGGGCTCTCTCCTTCCTGCCACAGAAGAGCTGCTTTGTTCCAGAGGTGTTGAGACTTAGGCCTAGGAAACAAATTTATTTTAGTTGAATCTTTCATACAGAGCAGTGTTTCTCAACTTCAACACTGATGACATTTTAGATTGGATAACTCTGTTAATAGGGGTCGGTGAGCGGGGAGAGAGGCTGTCCTGTGCTTTGTAGGAAGTCAAGTGGCATTTCTGGCTTCTACTCACCAGGTACTTCTCCTCCCAGTTGTGACAACCCAAAATGTCTCCAGATATTTCCAAAGCTTTTCAGAGAAGCAAAATCGCCCTGGTTGGGAACCACCTGTATAGGCCTTAAACCTGATTCTTTTTTTAAAAAAATATTTATTTATTATTTAATTATTTTATTTTGGTGGGGGGTAGGTAATTAGGTTTATTTTTAGTGGAGATACTGGGGACTGAACCCAGGACCTTGTGCATGCTAAGCATGTGCTCTATCACTTGAGCTACACCCTCCCAGAAATCTGATTCTCCTGGAATTCATTAGAACTCTTCTATCCATTATTGCAGTTACTAACCACATCACTACTGAGCACCTGAGATGTGGCTACTGCCACATGCTGAAGTAACATCTTTGATACATCGGGATAAATGCAGTAGGTTCTTAAAACGAATTTCACAAGTTTCTTAGTTTTTATTGTGGCTATTAGAACATTTTAAATTATACAAGTGGCTCAACTTATCTTCCTACTGGACAGCGCCACTCTAGAGCATCAACTGTGCTTTCTGACGACAGAGACAGACTGGACAGTGCCAAAGTTGCCAGGTGCCTTAGTCTTAACCCATAAGCCCCAGAATAAACACACTTGTCACAGAGTGAGATTCAGTTCACAATGACTTTATAATTCAATCCTGGGGTTGGGGGCAAGGCACTCTGCAAGTACTGTCGTGGCTGCAACGCTGGGTTTTGGGTAGGCAGGATATTACGAACAGCCTGAACCAGGGAGTAAAGCGTATCTGTATTTACACTGTAGCTTCCTCACGTTTGTGACCCTGGGTCTGTAATTCCACTCCTCTGGGCCAATTTTCTTCTTATACTTTAAGGATAGGATTATACCTATAAGTAGGGTGGTTGTGAGGATTAAATACTAAATGAAAAGAACAAAGGGTCTTCTAAATACAATGGGAGCCAACATTACCTGTTGGCTTATGAACTACTAATTAGTGCAGATTATCTAGCACTTGACTAAATGCTTGACCAGTGAAGACAAGAAGCAATTTTTACTAATAACCTTATTTTTTGATGAAAAACCTGACAGCGCCCAAGTGACAGAGGCGGAATTTACTCGTTCCTTCTGGCTCCTAAGCCCGGGAGCTCACCGCAGACCCAAGGCCGGCGCACGCTTTGTGGCAGGTTCACGCTCAATATTATAAATGCACAATATTATAAACGCATAATCCCCGCCCGCCGGGGCAAGGGATTTTCCCAGGCCCGGCTGCAGTCGGGTCCCCGCCCCCGCACCGAGCGTTTCTGACCACGACTCAGCCCAGCCGGTGCCCGGAGCCCGCCGCCATTCGCCTTTCCCTCCAGGCCTGGCTCGGGGACAGGCCGTGGGAGTCCCGCCTTGGGACAAGCAGGGTTCCCGGGGCTTGGCGTTCCCCAACCATTTCACGCCGGAGCCCCAGACCTAAACCGTCCTCACCTGAGGAGCGAAGCCTCCGGGCCCGCAAGTCGGGGGACGCCGGAAGCAGGAAAGTAGGACTGACTGCGCAGGCGTAGCGAAAAGCGCCGGATATCCGTTCCCAGAATGCTGCGCGATAACCAGCAGCATTCAAGACTACATTTCCCATAAACCCCATAGCCGCTCGCAAATTGGGTGTGTGGCTAGGGGAACTGTTAAGGAGCAGTTCAGATGCTGTTAACAGTCGGTGCTGATAAATGGAGCCCAGATTCTACCAAAGCCCCAAAGGTTATGGGTTAAACTGTGACATTACATTATATCCTGTGTGTGGTCCTCGATCAGTGATCCTCCGGAGGAAACAAGCCATTTGGGAACAATTTGGGAAATTTGTATTTGGATTGGATATTAGAAATGTTAAGAGAAGTTATCATTACTTTTGTTATTTGGTGTACCTTGGGATTAGGTGGGTAAGTTTACGTTTTAAAGAAATGCATATTAAAGTACTTAGCATTGTATTATCTATTTGTAGTAAAAGTAACTAGAAAAGGCAAATAGCAAAATGTTAAGAATTTTTATCTCTGGAAACAAGCAGTGGAACACTATTCTGAGGCGTTTAGGGCAAGAGGCAACGGAGAAGCAAGACATGATTGGCTAGGAGGTCAGAGACTTTCATTTAAGACAGGTCCTATTTTCTAGGTTAAAGTAAGCTAGCTGAAGCTGATTTGGAGGACTGTGATCGTTGTATGTTCAGTTTCCTTGACAGTAATACGTGCCCCGTTAAGTGCTAGCTGACTTAGGTTTAAATTTGCAATGTGGGCTCCATTTTGTGTGTCCTGATAGACAATTAATTTTATCATAATATAAACAGCTTTTATAAATAAAACAATGTAAAATGAAACAAAAACTAGAAAATGGAGACTATAATTAACATAAAAGAATAACATCTAATCCTCAGAGTTTATATCTGGGGGGAAAAAAAGAAAAAGCAATACCTGCAAGTACATCTAACTCAAATAAGGAAATTATTATTATGCATATTATATGTCTCCTAGGGATGAACTTGCTTAAAATTTGTGTACACACTTCTGAAATTAGAACCAAATTAGAAACCTCTGTTTATACTTACATATAAACACACACTCGTTTCTTGGTTGATATTTTGTAGCACTGATTATTTTATATGGCAATTATAATAAGAGATTAAGTTTTGATTAGCAAGAAAAGGATTAATGTTACCAGTAAGTTAGTGCAATTTCGTGAAACAAGGTATAAGATTTTAATCTGTTGACACTTAAGAAACTTTAATAAATACCACTTTCCTAGATGAAAATTATGAAGTTCCAATCAGAATTTTAAAAAAGTTTTTTATGTGTGTTTTTCTCTTTGGCATGAGTGTATTTTGTTTGTTAAACCTAAAGGAACAATTCCAGCTTTCATCCCAATTCAAATGTTTACTAATGATTAGAAAAAGAATTGAAAATGCATAGCAATGTGCCCATATTAACACGTATGCTACTGCTAAAATATTTAACTGATCCTTGTGCAATAAAAGTTCAAGTCCTGGAAGAAAAAGTGAGAACCTAGTGTGTATCAGAGCTGATGTTCAATAAAATGGAAAAAGACCTTTCAATAACCTAGAACAATGGGTAGGTGTCAGAACGAAGTAAGGCCATATTCATGGCATTCATATTACAATAAATAATTTTCATAGGGATTCAGCTATAAGCAATTAAAAGACAATTTCAAAGTTTTAAAATTTAAGTTCCTTAAGTTCTGAAGGAATATAAATGTTTTTAAAACATAAGGCCCTTTATTTCCTTTCCTTGGAAACCCTTTCCTTCACTTCTGTCCCGCGCCTGGGACCCCACCTCAAGCTTGGGAACACAGCCAGGGTGTGCTGAGGGCCACCGCGTACCTGTGCTGCACCCTACCTTTTCCGAGTCTGGTGCTACCAGTGTAGGTGCTGGCACCACTAGTTACTAACGGAAATTTGCAGAGATACTTTGAGGCTGTAAAACATCAGGTTTCTTTCTAAAGTACCACCCACCAGTTTAGCATTCATCAGTGGATCTTGCCGGTATGCTATTGGTGACTTTGAATTTACCTCTTCACTTGAGAAAGTATAAAGCCACCTCTGACATCAGGGAACTGGCCTGACACTTAGAGCCTGAGTGTGGTTGTTAAAGCTATCCTGGTGCCCATAATTAAACAGTGCTCTTTTCCTATTGGACACAAACGATCCCACTGAACACCAAGTGGACAAGGTCATTTTGTGACTATGATTATGTAAGTCAAACAAGATCACTTTATAGTTTTGCATGAATCCAGACAAAAATAAGGTTATTCTGTTACTCTCAAAATTCCAAATAGCCTCTCTCAGCTAATATGAATGACTGCTGCCTTTTTTTTCCTTCTTCTTCTTTTTCTTAACAACACCCAGCCCAGACCAAATTCAGCTGCCTTGGAAATTCTGCAAAATGAACTAACCGAAGCTCAAGTCCAGTAATACCTTTCTAACACCCTCTTACTAAAACAGTTTATGGTTCTTACATAGCACGCACTCTACCTCATTGCAATGACTATTAAAACCCAAATTGTTCAACTACAGGTGTGTGTTGCTGGTGGTACTGGACTGAATTACAGTGACATCTCCCATGGTTATTAATTGGAATTCTGTAAGGAAGATTTGTACCGTCTCTCAGTTTATTTATTCAATCATTTGTTTTTATCTGTATAGACGGATGGAGATTTATTTCATTTGTTGGGCTATAACCCATTACCAAATTTATTATTTTGCTAAATATGTTCTAGCTTTTTTCCATTGGAAGATACTTTAGGCTGCTCTGTCTCCTTTTTTCCCTTCTTTTAATAGGCTTTATTTTTTTTTAAGAGCAGTTTTATGTTCACAGCAAAATGAGCAGAAACTACAGAGAGTTCCTACGTACTTCCTGCCCGGCCACGCATACAGCCTTCTGCACTATGAACATTCTGCAACAGAGCCGTACATTTGAAACACTCTGTGAACCTGCATTGATATCTCATTATTGCCCCAAATCCATAGTTTATATTAGAGTTCACTCTTGGTGTTACACATTCTATGGGTTTTAATGATGTATCCACCATTATAGTATCATACACAACAGTTTCATTGCCTAAAAAAATCCCATGTCCACTGCCTGTTCATCTCTACCTCCCTTCTAATCCCTGGTAACCATTGATTTTTTTTTTTACTGTCCCCATAGTTTTGCCTTTCTTAGAATGTCATTATAGTTTAAATCATACAGTATAGCATTTTCAGATTGACATTTTTGACTTGCTAATATGCATTTAAGGTTTTCCATGTGTCTGTATGGTCTGATAAAACATTCCTTTTTAGTACTGAATAATGTTCTATTGTCTGAATGTCCCCCAGTTTATTTACCCAATCTCCTACTGAAGGTCATCTTGGTTATTTCCAAGTTCTGGAAATCATAAATAAAGATGCTATAAATATCCATGTGCCAGTTTTTGTGTGGATATTAAGTTTTCAACCCTTTTGGATAAATACCAAAGAGAATGATTACTGGTTATATGGGTATGTAAAGTTAATGGATATTTTCAAGATATTACACAAAAAAGGAATATACATTCTTTTCAAGTGCACCTGGAACAGTCTCTAGGATAGACCACATACTTGGACACAAATAACCCTCAACAAATTTAAGATGATGAAAATTATGTCAAACATCTTTTCTGACCAAAATGGCATGGAGCTAGGAATCAACCACAGAAAGAAAAGTGAGGAAAAAATGAGTGTATGGGGACTAAACAACATTCTACTAAAAACAAAAAAACATCAATGGGTCCATGATGAAATCAAAGAGGAAATTAAAAAATATCTTGAGACAAATGAAAATGAAAACACAACCACACAAGATCTATGGGATGCAGCAAAAGCAGTCCTAAGTGGGAAGTTTGTAGAAATACAGGCCTTCCTCAAAACACAAGAAAAATCTCAAATAAATAATCTAACCTAACAACTAAAAATATTAGAAAGGGAAGAACAAACAAAATCTAAAGTTAGCAGAGGAAAAGAATAAAGCTCAGGGAGTAAATAAGTAAAATATAGATTAAAAAACAATAGGAAAAATCAATAAAATCAAGAATTGGTTCTTTGAAAGTAAACAAAAAACAACAAAACTCTGGCCATCAAGAAGTAAAGAGAGGACACAAAATAAGAAATGAAAGAGGAGAAATTACAACCAATACCATAGAAATACAAAAAAACCCCCACAAAACTATAGAATACTATGAACAATTAGATGGCAAAATTGGATAATCTAGAGAAAAGGACAAATTTCTAGAAATATATAGCCCACAAATACTGAATCAAGAAGAAATAGTTTGAATAGATTGATCACTAGAAGTGAAATAGTAATAAAAAATAAAAAACCCTGCAACCAAAAGTCCAGGACCAGATGGCTTCACTGAAGAATTCTGCCAAAAATACAAAGAACTTACACTGATCCTTCTCAAACGCTTCCAAAACAGTGACAAGGAGGGAACATTCCCAAACTCATTCTATGAAGTGACCATCACTCTGATACCAAAACCAAAGACACTACCAAAAAGAAAAGTATAGGCCAATATCTTTGATGAATATAGTTGCAAAAATTCTCAATACGATATTAGCAACCTGAATCCAACAACACATAAAAAAGATCATAGATGATGATTAAGTTGGATTCATCCCAGGGTCACAAGGATGGCTCAACATGTGTAAATCAATCAATGTGATACACCACATCTGCAAGAGAAAGGACAAAAACCACATGATCATCTCAGTAGATGCAGAGAAAGCATTTGGTAAAATTCAACATTCATTCATGATAAATACTTTTAAAGTGGGGATAGAGGGAACATATCTCAACATAATAAAAATTACTTATGGTAAACCCACAGCCAACATAATACTCAGTGGTGGAGAGCTGAAAGCCTTTCCACTAAAATCTGGAACAAGACAAAGATGCCCACTCTCACCACCTCTATTTAACATAGTATTGGAAGTTCTAGCCACGGCAATCAGACAAGAAAGAAATAAAAGGGATCCAAATTGGAAGAGAAGAGGTAAAATTGTCATTATATGCAGATGACAAGATACTAAACATAGAAAACCCTAAAGACTCCACACAAAACCCGCTAGAGCTGAGAAGCAAATTCAGCAAGGTAGCAGGATACAAGATTAACATACAGAAATCTGTTGTATTTCACTACACTAACAATGAAGTAGCAGAAAAAGAAAGTTAAAAAAAATTCCCTTTTAAAATTGCATAAAAATGCTCAGGAATAAACCTGACCAAGGAGGTGAAAGACTTACATACTAAGAAAAATAAAACAAGATAATTTAAAGAAATGGAAGGATGTCCCACGCTCTTGGATTGGAAGAATTAATATTGTCAAAATGGCCATACTGCCCAAAGCAATCTAGAAATTTAATGTGATCCCCATTAAATTACCCAGGACATTTTCCACAGAACGACAAAAAATAATCCTAAAATCTATATGGAATCACAAAAGACCCAGAATTGCCAAAGCAATACTGATGGAAAAGAATGAAGCTGGAGAAAACCCTCCGAGGCTTCAAATAATACTATGCAGCTACAATAATCAAAACAGCATCGTACTGGCCCCAAAACAGACATATGGATCAATGGAACAGATTAGAAAGCTGAAAAATAAACACATACCTCCAGTCAATTAACTTTCAACAATGGAGATAAGAACATACAATGGAGAAAAGACAGTCTCATTGACAAGTGGTGTTGGAAAAGCTGGACAGCTGCATGCAAATCAATGAAGTTACAACAGTCCCTCATACCATACATAAAAATAAACTCAAAATAGCTTAAAGACTTAAACATAAGACAGAAAATCATAAATCTCCAAGAGAACATAAGCAAAACTTTCTCTGATATAAATTGTAGCAATGTTTTCCTAGTCTCCCAAGGCAACAGGAATAAAAGCAAAAATAAATAAATGGGACCTAATTAAACTTAAAAGATTTGCACAGCAAAGACAACCATAAACAAAATGAAAAGACAACCTACAGAATGGGAGAAAATATTTGCAAACAATGCAACTGATAAGGGCTTAATTTCCAGAGTATATAAACAGCTCATACAACTTAATAACAAAAAAACAGACAACCCAATCCAAAAATGGGCAGAAGACCTAAACAAGCAATTCTTCAATAAAGACATACAAATGGTCAATAGACACATGAAAAAATAAGCTAAATA